GTACTAATAAAGGAATTTACCCAAGTAAAGAGACGGATTAGGCATTATTAGACATGAATCAATTTGTTATTAGCTTTAATCTTTTACTTTTATTTTCCCAATTCACATCATATTTCAATTTTTTAAGGTTGATTTGAACTCAGAACTTAAATTACAAAATAATTGATCAGACATCTATCAGAATCATCAGCTGCAAATGCTTTCTTCTTCGTCAAATACGCGTTATGATGGTATCACTTCAATTTTATAATATTTAAATTTTCATTTTTTTAAAAAAAAATAGAAACTCCATTATATTGTATTTTTAGTTACTCTTCCGATTCTTAAGGTTTCTTCTTGGTTAACTTGGATCGATCCGAATGACAGTTTTTGTTAATGAGTGTCCCAGCGAGAATTTTTTACATTCACAAAGACTTGAACTCGATATCTGCTTAAACAAAATCAAACTACTTATCATTTGAATTAATATATTATTATAATTTTAATTTATAACTAATTATTCTATAGACAAAAAATATTATTGCATGTTGATTAAGATAGATTGTTAAAATTTGTCAATATTATTATTCAAATTTATAAATTACAAATCTATGTTAGTATTATTCTATTGTTTTAATTAAAATTGATTTGTCGGTAAGCATGATGTTTGTCGGATCGACAAATAGGACAACTTATTACATAAAATAAGATTACAAAAATTGGTATTTATAAAGAAAGTTTAATAAAACTTTCAATCACTCTTATTATTATAAATTATATGAAAATTTATAATAGTTATATGTATCAATTAAATTAAATGCGATTTATCAATGCTAAGGGCAAGGGCGATCTTTTCGATTTTAATGATTGTATACTAAATAAGAGTAGTTAGGTTAGGGTGCTAAACAACTCAGCATTCCATGTCATGTTACATAATTAAGGGACAACCATGTAATAATATATAACATTAAATCATAAATGATACAAAAATCAAAATCCTTTTCATGAGTAAAATTAAATTATGTTTTCTATATTTTAAAAAAATAAAATATAAATGGATTAAACATTTATTGTCATATTTTTATCATACTTATAAAAATTATTTTAAAGATACTAATTCACACACACACACATATATATATATATATATATATATATATATATATATAATATATATATATATATATATATATATATATATATATATATATGCAAAACCCAAAGTAGTAGGTTTAAGATATTTGAGTGGGATTGGGTGAAATTAGATGTATAAACGGCTCTTAATTTGTAATGTTGATTGACTAATGGCTACCCAATCTTAAAGTTTTGTTTTATAGGTTGAAGGAGACAAAATTGCTACCACTTAAATTTGGCTCTGCTCGAGGCTTGGGGGACCATATATCAAAGCATCTTGGTGAGGAATATTGTTTCATTTTAAAAAAAATTTGGGATCACACAATTTAATTTAATTAATTAATGAAACTATAATTCGTTTATTAATTTTATTGATAAAAATTTGTTTGTTTAAGAATATTCGATTTTAAAAGTTGTATATACAAGATATATATATTGTTAATGATTAAAAAAAAATATAAACAAATACTATTTTGTACCTCATAGACTTCATCACATCGAATCTAGTAGTACTTCATCAACAATTGATCTTCACACATATTTCTCCTCTAATCAACGACACTAAAAGCCCGCATTTGTTGAGCATAAACCTCAAGTAAACTACAATACATAAATAAATGTAGACAATATTCTTCACAGATCCACATAACCTAACAAAACAAAATCCAAGGTCTGACCACTAGATCTTTCTAGCTTGATCAGCCTACAAATAGTCATTATGACCCTTCGATTGATACACATAGTAAATGTTATAAATGTTCCAATCGAGACTGAAAAATGGTATACACTATCCATGATTAGTCGTCCATATTCTTCTTCCTCATGATAATTCACACTTTCCTCCTTGAAATATCGATCAACAATTATTCTCTCGTCGATTATGACTCTTCGTCTAGAAGGAACGATTGGCGAGTCAAATTGATTTCATAAAAATATTAATAATAAAAAAATTATATCTAATTATTGGCAAAATTAAATGGTGGCAAGCAAAAATATATGAATCATTATAGACTGGGAGTCCTGTTTTGGAGAAATAATATGGCTAACATTAGTTTGTTGTGAAATTAAAAATGATATGAATAATTTAATGAAAAAATGGGAATATTTGGCATAAATGACAACTACTGAAAGTTTGAATGGCTGTCTGTTTCATTTACTGTTTGGGAGCTGTAGCAGGTAGGCTGGAATCAATCGTGTACCCAGGCCCACATGGCACCTAGCATGGTTCACTTAAAATTATTTTATTTTTACAGTTACCTCAACAAATATCCTAGAATTAATTTTGAATTTCCAAAAAAATATATTATATTAATTATGCCATTTCATCTGCCTAACTATTAATACAGGGTTAATATTATTAAGTACGGGATGTGCAAAAAAATATGATCCGATTAATTCGATCTGTTGATCTGGTGATCTGATCCAAAAATTAAAATATCTGATCTATTTTTTTTTTATTTTCGGATAATTCATATCGGATATTTGATCTATTTTTTATTTTAGGATAATTCATATCGGATATCCAAAAAAAAATTTCAGAAAATCGGATCGGATACGGATTAGATAAAATCCACTTTCAGATTATCCGAAAATTGGAAAAATTGGACCTTTAAATTTTAGATATATTTAACCTAATAAATGAGTAACTCACTACCTATTAAAGCTCTAAGTCAATAAAAATTAGAGTATTTAATTATTGATTGTGTGTAGTATATATATAATATAGTAGAAGTATAGAATATATAACATTAAATCACAAAATTTAAAAATTTAAAATTAATTTTTTGTCAAATTAAATTTTATATTTAGAATCGGATATCCGGATTCTGATCCGAAAATACCCAAATTTCAGTTATCCAATTTTCTTTGATTAGATACGGATCACTATTTTAGGTATCCAAAATTTTCGAATATCCAAATTTTTGCATCGGGTCGGATCTGATATCCAGTTTTGCACACCCCTAGTATTAAGTGTCACAAAATTATTGTCAAGTTGCATGAACTAAGTTATTATAGTGATTAAAGAGAATAATTGTTATCTTTAGAAATTATAAATTTGAATATAATGTAAGGCTATTTGAATATTTATTGTGAAATGAAATGAAAATCTTTCAAACATATAATATTTTATAATTACTTTGTATGATTTAAAATTTTAATTAAGTATTATACTTCAAACTGTTATAATCTGCAACCCCAAAAAAAATGTTCTAATCTAATTTCAATAAGTTGATTTTATCGATTTAATCCTTAATATTTAGTACACAAGATTTTTTTAATTTTAAATTTCAAAATCTAAAAAACTAAATTATACTCGTTTAAAGAAAATCTAAATAATTCATAATAAATTTTAAACTTAAAATCTTAAAATCAAAAACCATAAATCATGTATCTAAATCATAAATCTTAAATACTAAACTCTAAATCTTAAACAAACAAATAACATTTAAAAGAACCGATTGTGTAAAATAAATTTTATATAACTTGTGTATTTAAAAAACTATTAAATATTATATTATATTTGATAACATATTTAAAATGCGTACATCAAATTTTAAATAAATTTTTACCTGTGCATGAATAGATTAGTTAAAAAAATAAGTCTTTTAAAATTTAATAATATTATTTTTAACAAATTAAACATAAATTATCCATTTAAATAAGTATAGAGGTTTATAAGATTCGATCATATGATTTTAATTTGCCCCACATCATATTTAGTTAAAAATTTGACTTAATGATCTATCAACCTAATAATAAAATAATTTGTACATAATTTAACATCAGATAAGACTATAATAAAATCTAAAATCAAATTATATATTATTTACTTAAGATGAAAGTCGCTTTAATTTACGACATAACCAAAGTTGTAATGTTTTGGGTAAACGTGAAAAGAAATGTTACACCTGGAGCAGCAGCACTTTTACCACGTTCCATTTGGGTTGAAAATGGCAGCCAGCCAGGCGTCACTGAGTTTGTCAAAATAATAAAGGAAACTTTTATAAAAAGCCATGAAAACACACATGGCTGTGACCACCGTCATATCGTCACTTTATTCACCACCGTAGATTTTTCAAAATTAGACCAGATGGAAATGGCCTGACAAGACCACAACTCACCACGTGTTATTTTACTTTTATATCGTATTCCATCAGTGGTCTATTATTCACTCACTGTAACTATAGTTTTACCCATAGCAATTAGCAAATTCAACCAGACATCAATTCTAATTTTGGCCCCTCCTATATCTTTAAATTAAATAATATAGTCCCTATACTTTTACATTTTTTGATATAGCCATTGGTATTCAATTCATTAATGGATTGATTTTAATCAAATATTATAAAAAAACTTATTATAAGAGAGTCATCTTCTAATTCAATTTTATATTTTTTTGATTCCTGATGCTAACATTTATTTTATGTATTGAAAAGGGTATTTTTAAGAATAATTTCACATTAACCGAAATAATTAGTAGACTTAATGACCAAAAAAAGACATAACTTTGATTAAATAATCATTTTGATCTAAATTTTTTTAGAGTATTTTGATTATAATATTTTATTTTAAGACAAATTTTTTTTATGTGGATAAAAACTATTAGTTAATAAATAATCAATACTCTAAAATAAAAATACTTTACTTTAAAATGAAACATTACACATTAAAATATTAAAAAATAAAATTTGAAGTGTTTATATAATCAAATATTAATTTTTTTTAAAATATTAAAAAACAAAATTATTATTTAATCAAACGTTTTATATTATGTGTAGTTAATAATATTAACTAATGATATTATAAAAGTATAGGAACTGAATCTCCAAATAGTGTATAGTGAAGGGACCAAAATTAAAATATGACCCTAAGAGTAGTTAAATAGCAGCAGAGAGACAAAGCAAATCCAGCTTTCATTTCCGTCCCGCTCTCTTTCATGGTTCCACTGATACTCTCCATCAATATTGAAATGAAATTTGTGTTAAAAACGAAAAAGGGGTGTATTAATTTGAATTAATTTGAGTTGTTGAGTTCTTAACAATCGTTTCTTTTTTGCAAATAAGATGGTTTCGTTGCAAGATTCTCACTCGAATTCGAACCGGTTCCCTCTCGATCGAAACTTGTACACCCTCGGTTCAGCTTCCGCCACCAGAATTCACCGACACGCCGGCCGTTCCATGCGTACGATTCGCTCCAATTTATACCAAAGCGCCGACAACAGCAGCTGCTCTTTCACCAGCTCGGTTCCCGAACCGGCCGGTTTTGTATCAGAGAATCTCACCGAATCCGTTATCGACATGCGTCTCGGCGAACTGGTTGCCAAAAGCAACGCTAAATCGGTTAAATCCGAGTCGGAAAATGAGGATTTTCTGGATATTTCTCAGGCCTTCAGTGGTTTCTCAGCATGTAGCAGTGATATCTCCGGTGAGTTGCAACGGCTAGCGACCTTGCCGTCGCCGGAAAACGTCTTGAAAGAGAGCAGCGGTGGAGCTGAGTTTGAGCCGGAACCGGAACCGTGTCACGGCTTTCTGCAGAGAGAGAACTTCTCGACGGAAATCATCGAGAGTATCTCGCCAGAGGATCTTCAACCGACGGTCAAGATCTGCATCGATGGCCTCCAATCAGCGTCCGTTGCGGTGAAGCGATCGGCTGCTGCTAAGCTAAGGTTACTAGCGAAGAACCGTGTGGATAACCGTGCGTTGATCGGGGAGTCCGGCGCGATCCCTGCTCTGATTCCCCTCTTACGAAACAGTGATCCTTGGACTCAAGAGCACGCCGTGACCGCGTTACTGAATCTCTCTCTTTTCGAAGCCAACAAATCCCTAATCATAAATGCCGGCGCTATAAAATCATTAGTGTACGTTCTCAAGACAGGCACTGAAACTTCCAAGCAAAACGCGGCGTGCGCGCTTCTGAGCTTAGCTTTGATCGACGAAAACAAGGCTTCAATCGGAGCCTGCGGAGCGATCCCGCCGCTAGTATCTCTTCTGATGATCGGATCTAACAGAGGCAAGAAAGATGCACTGACGACTCTTTATAAGCTCTGTTCAGCCAGGCAGAACAAAGAGAGGGCAGTGAGTGCAGGTGCAGTTAGGCCTTTGGTGGGGATGGTGGGTGAGCAAGGCACCGGCTTGTCGGAGAAGGCAATGGTTGTTCTAAGTAGCTTGGCGGGAATCAAGGAAGGAAGGGAAGCTATTGTTGAGGAAGGTGGGATTGCAGCACTTGTCGAAGCGATCGAAGATGGGTCCGTCAAGGGGAAGGAGTTCGCCGTGTTGACACTGTTGCAGTTGTGTGCCGATAACATCAAGAATCGTGGTTTGCTTGTTCGGGAAGGTGGGATACCTCCTCTCGTGGAGCTTTCGCAGACCGGGAGTATCCGAGCTAAGCATAAGGTAATCGCAGTCGAATGCTTGATAAATTACTAGATAGTTGAACCTATAAACTGTGTTTCTAATGCCAGTGCAGTTTATAGTTCATTGAATTGCTTGATTGGTTAAACAACATTCCATTTTTTAAGTAGCTGAACTTGGTTGTTAACCACAACATCGAATGCACAACATGTATATGTTCAAATACCGATAATGCTCGCTTCTCATCGAAAACTTACATGACAATTATGTCTTTAATTTTGCAGGCTGAAACACTTCTTGGGTATCTAAGAGAACCAAGGCAAGATGCTTCATCATCTAGTCCTTAAGGAGCCGAAGTTTAATTACTCGTAGAGGTAATCACACCTTGGTAATTTTTTGTTGTATATAGGGAGTGTTTTGATGGTTTGTATAGTGTGGTTGAGAAAAAAAATTTAGGGGAGGCTCAAGAGACTGACATTTAGATTGTATATTTCTGAGTAGGTTTTGGGGTTCTGCCCCAACTTGTTTACATGTTCTGAAGGGTGGAGTACTTTGGCTTGGCTTGCGGGTTTCGAATTAATTAGATTTGGGTTATTTTCCTTGTGTTTTGTTTAAGTGACCCAAATTCTATTTTGCATCGTTTATATCGATCGAGTACTAATAGTCGGTTTTCCACACAGTGAAAATGGACAGTCTTGTTGATGATATGCTCTAATCTTGTATGGAAGCAACTGTTAGGTTTTCATGATCACCTCTGTGCTGTGAAATTTGGCAATAACCATTTATGTTTTTGCACTTGGATGGTCAGAAGGGGTTGGCGGGTCGGTCACCATAGGAGGAAAATTTCAAATTATCATATAATTTATATATATTTTTGTTGATAATTTATTTAATTTTATAAGTTTGCATCATAACATAAAATCCTACTATGTACCAAGATCTCCTTGTTTGTGTACCATCATCTGATTCTTGCATGGTGTTGGAGCAATGTATAGGAATCTGGTTTTTGTTTTCGTTTCCCTCAAGTTTTCCCAAGATGCCAATGGGGCAATTATGATATTATGCATTAGTGTTGAAGCATTGAATAAAGAGGTGCATATGGTGGGGATGGGTTGTAGGGCCCTGGATATGCCCCTACTTGGTGTAAAGTAGTTAATATAATTATGTGCTACCATCACCATTGTCTATCCTACTTCCGTATACATCTAAGAGATGCCCACCAACCGGTTCAAAACCCCACCACACCCACACATGTATATAAAAACATAACTTAGGAGGTGTTTGTTTTTGCAGAGGTAAAAGGTATGCGGTCTGCGGATCACATCTGCAGACATCTGCATTAGAAGAGGTGAATCAAAAATCTGTAGTCTGTAAGAATAAGACTGTTTGTTTTTAACGTCTGCAGACTATTAAAATGAACTGAAATATAAATAAACTGATTTTTTAAACTTAAAAGAGTTTTGCAATACTGAGATTTAAATAATTTTAGTTTTACGATACTGAAATTTAAATAATAAATCTAACTACAATAATATATTATTTAAAATAAAATAATCTATATTTTAAAATAAATCAATCCATACTAATAAATTTTTTAAAATAAATCAATTTATACAACTACAATAATAAATTAATCTATATTTTAAAATAAATCAATTTATACTAATAAATTATTTAAAATAAATTAATCTATACTCATAAATTATTTAAAATAAATCAATTTATACAAATACAATAATAATTCAATTCATATTTTAAAATAAATCAATCTATACTAATAAATTATTTAAAATAAATCAATTCATATTAATAAATTATTTAAAATAAATCAATTCATATTTTAAAATAAATCAATTCATACTAATAAATTATTTAAAATATATCAATCTATAAAATTACAATAATAAATTAATCTATATTTTAAAATAAATCAATCGATACTAATAAATTATTTAAAATAAATCAATCCATATTTTAAAATAAATCAATCCATACTAATAATTTATTTAAAATAAATCAATCTATATTTTAAAATAAATCAATCCATACTAATAAATTATTTAAAATAAATTAATTCATATTTTAAAATAAATTAATCCATACTAATAAATTATTTAAAATAAATCAATTCATACAACTACAATAATAAATCAATTCATATTTTAAAATAAATCATTCTATACTAATAAATTATTTAAAATAAATCAATCCATACTAATAAATTATTTAAAATAAATAAATCTATATTTTAAAATAAATCAATTCATATTAATAAATTGTTTAAAATAAATCAATCTATATTTTAAAATAAATCAATTCATACTAATAAATTATTTAAAATAAATTATTTTAAAATAAATCAATCAATATTTTATAATAAATTATTTTAAAATAAATTATTTTAAAATAAATAATCTTATTAAATTATTTAAAATTATTTTAATAAATAATCATATTTTATAATTGTTCTTGAAGAGGTTTGAAGACCTTTGAAGATATAAAATCATGTCTGCATCAAGAAGAGCTCTCGCAGACATTAGAAGAGCTTCTGTTTTCTAAAAAATAAACGGTCTGCGAAGTTTAATATCTACGAGTGGTCAGACATAAAAAATTTGAATAGATTAGACAGTAAAAACAAACTAAGTCTTACCTTTTCTTCTGTCGTTATTACTCATCCGTTAGATGGCAGAGCAGGGACATGTCTTGTCCTACTATAGTGCAAATTTTATTCGAATTTTTTGGAGTTTGTTTTTGTTTAAATGTAATCATAATTATTTATAATATTATTATATATAAATGGATTAAAATTCAAACAAGTTTCTCTAAGATATATATATATATATATATATATATATATTGATTTTTATGTGTAAATGCAATTTATAATTTTATTTAATAAATTATATATATATAACATTGTTTTTGTAAAAAAGGTGTCTTGAGAATAAATTATTAATGTGAACATAAAGGATTTAAAGGGACTGTTGGGAAAAAAAGAATTTATAAAAGGAATATAGTTGAAGTATCAAATTGAATAAAATAAAAAATAGAAAGATTAAAATTAAAAAAGATTTTTTTATTAAAAATAGGAATGGAAGGAGTATGAAAACTAAATTTGATCCAAAATGGAGAATAATTATAGAACTAATAAAATAAAATAAAATATTTATTTTTTAAATGGTTTTGTTTGGTTTTATTATCAAAACACCTATAAAAACGACCAAACAACCATGAGTCTCGTTAAAAAACCTGTGCTTCATGGTTGCTGAAGAAATACAAGTTCGTCTTTTACAGTAAACACAACTCTATCGACAGTTACATCCTGAACTAAAACCCCATAAAACCCTTTGAACCCATCACTAAAGGATGCCACCAGAAGAGCCAGAAAATCACCTCCAACTGACCTTCAACTATCGACTCCAAGCACACACACTACTTATATAGACACCTAGCATCAAATTAGCATATGGTGCATGACTAAAAACAAACTGTGCCAGCTTACGCCTGGATACAGTCACAATCCTGCAGACCGAAAGCAAAGGGCAGCAAACAGACTAGCAACCACAATTATTACCTAGCTTAAAACGCTAGTACAAAATCAGCACTTCAAACAATACAGTATGAGAGCAATCAAACATACCAGGGCAGAAAGTAAAGATACCGATCGTCGAGAAAGATTAACAAATTAAATTATTGTTAAAAAAGGAGAAATTGAAATCATAAAATGAATTAGATAGTAAATAATTCAATTATTTAATTAAAGATTAACATGGTGTTATGTTAGTTTTTAAATTATTTTCTAATCTAAATTGGTTAAGAATTCGAAATTTAAATTTTGAAAATAAAAATTTAATCAAATTGAAATTCATATATCTTTAATACAAAAATCAAATGTATTAAATTAACAAAGCTGGCAACAGAAGAAGCACAAGTCGAAAGAAGAGAGAATAGCCAACAAAATTGGACGGGAAGACTGTTGTTTTACAGGCAGAAGACAACCAACTACTCGAAGCAGGGGCCAAACCAGCAGGGTTTTGTTCATCCTGACGCTTTATGAAATATGAATCCATCTCCATAATTTGCCACTGAAGTTACTGATATTTCTTCTTCTCCATACCTTCATTTATCGACAATGTTAAAATGTTAGTTTAATAACATCTGTTTTGCTCATTCGCGCTTTGCTTTTATCATATGTTGGCCGAGGAAGAGACTTGTATGGAAAATATAGAATTAGCCCAAGTGTAAATGAGCTCAATGGGGGATTAGAATGGGAAAAACAGAAAGATCAAATTCAGATGTTATGATTTTTTAGAAATGTCTAACATATTTCCTTGTACCCCTATTTCCTGCAGGACTTTCACTTTCTGCTGTTATGCAATACAATGACACAGTGATTTACATAATAAACCATATTTTTGCAGAACATCTTGCTTGCTGCATATCCTTTATTTTTCATACAATGCAAATCTTAGTTCTGAAAACTCACATCCTCTGAAGTCGGACGCCTCAAGAAATATCGTAAACTATTAGCGAGAACCTGCCAGATTTCATGAGGTCAAAACACATTAAAACGATGCCCCGGCAAGCGATTCGGGCATATGCTCTGCCATACCTAAATGATTAATACTGCACCTCCAGTTGAAAGTGCAGTGTGTTAAATTTTTGTGTTAGTTGCACTACCTACTGATACCTTTACCCTTGTAGCTGAAGTGAAACTTTGCCTTTGCCAACAATCCCTGCATCTCGAAGGTAAAATTTCGGGAGAAAAAAATTGAGCTGAGGGCATACCAAAGAGAAACAGTAATCGATCACAATTCAGTGTCAAACTAGCCGAACTCGTCAGTGATGTTGATGTTGTTAATGATTTTTACAAGATCCACCAGCAACCCTGCCCGATCAGCGGTCTCCATGTATAGGAAGCTGAGTTATCCCAGCAAAGCAGAACTTAAACCAAGGGCCAAGATTATTGTGTGATTATTCTCAGCTTAAACATTTATGGACAATTCGTAACATTTACGATCCCTGGTCTCTGCTTGACTGCTGCAAGCATGAAAATTATGCATCGGAATTACAACAAACACGTCTCATGGCTGCTGTAAACCTCGTTTCACCAAACATTCAACACAAAAAAAACATGCCTGAACATACTGGATGAGCTGAAGAAGATTCCTGTTACACAAACATGCCAATAGGGTTCTACTCGGAGATTTCTCATTAGGAAAAGGTGATTACAGGATGATACTGGAGTAAGTTGTTTATAATCGTAAAACATATCGCCTCTAGCAGTTCCGGGTCTTAAACACCATTTCCATGCTCATATTCGAGTTAAAAGGCATACTACATACGTCTTAGTGATGGCGAACTTGTTATGCTTCCTGGATGAATCCAGATAGACATTTGCTTTTGCAACATTCATCTGCAACTCATTCAGTAATAGTTAGATCATAGACAATAAATTCTCAGTGAAACCCCCAAAATTTCCATATGAAAAGCAGTGAGTAAAGGAATTTATTCAGTATCCATAAATTTGGGGGTTGGAACTGTATCAGTGTCATCACCCTTCAAACATACAACAACCGTAAGAAATGGAACTTTAGCCAGTTAATACATGGTTTAAATTCAACCAAATTCATTATTTGTTCTTCCATACCTCCACAACTGTGTCTGATGGTGTTGCCCTTGGAATGATTCCCATTAGTAGCGCCATTTATTTATTTGGCTGTTCTATTGAAAAATAGTTATGATAATTTATGTAATATATCTAATACTAATCATGATAATATGTATTGGAATCTTCTTTTTTTTTTTTTATTGTGACAGATTTGGAAGCTGACATAAGGCGTTCGTCTTTATTGACTTTCTCACCTCTATCTAAAGTCGTCCACTTTAGCTTTGTCTGGACTCTCCACTTTGCAAGCCTCCCCTCGAAGGCTGCTGGTCCTTACCATCACCGATTGGAGTCCTTTAGGTGAACTCCACCTCTGCAAGACTAGATATGCTTGAACACCGATGTTTCGAT